ACGGGGCTTTGGCTTTTTGAGGGCTTACGTCTGCCTTGAAACTTGCTGTATGGATGAAATGTATGATAAAAGATATTAACAAAAAATAAATACAAAGCGCATTAGCTCCTGTAACAAAACCTGCTACCCTGTAGAGGCAACAAATCTATCTGCATCAGAATTACGAAAGACAAGGTGTTAGTGAAAAATACTCAATTCCTTTTGTTTTGATCAGCTCCCCAGAAAGCAGAAGAGAGTGACAGTGTCTCTTTTTGTCTGTAGAAAAAGTGCCGCATCTGTTGTGAGAATCTTTTGTATTTTGTCATTCTGGAGACTTTATTAGTGTCTGCTTCAAACGCATCAGAGACTTGCTGAACCTCGCTGGGAAAACCGACCGGGGTTGAGCAGCCTGGCAAACACCCAAAGGTCTCGAGGAGAGGCTCCTGCCCAGGAACTTTCCTCCCGGTGATGGAGCAGCCCCTGCCCAGCTCCCACACGGCTGCAGGCATGGGCTGGCCACGGCCCTGGGGACAGCCATGGGAAAAAAGCAAGGGACAGCTGGGAAGAACTTTAATTTTCATGGCTCTAAATAAATTGCAGCCCAGTAAAAAGACACTGTAGGTTGGTGGTGATGGGTCTGGGTGCGATAGGGAATGGGGATGTGGTGGGGAAGGAGCTGCTGAGCCCCCGGCACAGCGGTTGGGTGCACCAGCCTGCCTCTCCCAGCCAGGTACTTCAGGGGGTGATGAGGTGGAGCCTTCACCAGAGCCGTGGGAGTGCCTCGGCGTGAAGAAGCTCGGGCACGCGTTGCCTCTGCGTAGGGCAGCGGCAGGCTGGGCTCCTGCTGGGGAAGCCCTCTCCTGCCTTGTGCTGGCGTGAAATACGCTATTTAATTAGCTATAAACTGCAACGTGTTCCTCACCCTCTATTTTTAAATGACATTAATATAATTATATCTATAATTAATACGGATGGTAGCAAAATGCTGGCCTGATAATTTTACATCGTCTTAATTAGCATTCATTTTTCTTTCTTAAAACAGCGTGTTTTTCAAACCCATCTTCTGTAATTGTCAATCCAGACATCACTTATTCTTTCAAAAGATATAACGGAACAGTGTCTTGCAGTTATCAAAGATGAGAGGAAAAAGAAATATGCAAATGGAAATACGTTTCAAAACATAAGCATTTGCTTTCTGTGAAACACAGAAAAAAGCATCTCTCTGAGGCTAAAAGCACGTCTCTGAGGCTAGAAGAAAATGCCTCATGTAAACACGTTTAATGTAAAAAAATGCAAATAAGTTGAAAATTAAAGTTAGAAGTTGCTTCAGAATGAATGGTCATGGATAAAACTCTTAATAATGAGCATGGAAAAAGATGAATGGTCTGCACAGTACATCCATACGAGTGGTTCTTGAACCCAAACACATACTTTGAGTGAGAGCTGCTTTGTGCTTTTCAGATTATTAGATTGTTTGGCCACGTTTCTTCTTCCAGATACAGTGTGACAGCAAGCGGGAAGTTCAGTATTCTACCAGTAAGTAAGATTTTTAGTTGAAGGTGTTTAAAAGGAAAAACAAAGCCCCCCGCAAAGGTTTTGTTGTTGGACATGAATTATGGGAGTTTGGTAACTGAATATTGTGATGGTATCTGGGTTTGAATGAGGATTTTTTTAGCCCAGGTCTTCAATACCTCAACTACATGAGATCTTCTCTCCACCAAATAGGTCTGTGCTTATATAGCTCTTCTAACAAGTCGGTATATATTTTAATATATAGATTTATTTATAGATATCACAGCTTAATTTTATAGCACCAATAGTCTTTTTGACCCAAATTTTCTTCTTTCTTGACTTCTGTGCCTATTATTCTAAAGATCATTTCCAACCAATGTACTGGAAGGGGATTTTGGGAGGTCTGGATGAATGCCTGAAGGAGGTTGCTTTTGTTCTTCCATTGTTTTATTTTGAGAAATTTTTTTTCAGATGTTGGTATAAATGAAGAAGGTCATAAATAGTTGAATAATTTGTTTCTAAAACCTTCAGATTTCAGTTTAGTCCGGAACACAGACTGCTCTTGTACCTCTTTTGAAGAAACTTCACAACTGATTTTTTTTTGTTGTTTTTTTTGGTAACCTTACGCCCTTCCATTACCTTAGTGCAATGTGCAAATATCAGCTCATCCGACTGAGAGGATATACCTCTGTTAACAAACCAGCAATCACTGATCAAATGGAAATGTTTTCCTTCACTCTTTGGTTTTTACTTACCGGGGCCAAGGTATGGGCAGGCATCTTTCTATAAACAAAAGAAAATAGCTGGAAAAAAACACACAGATTCAGGGCACCAACTGAAATTTGGGAAGTGCACGTTGTGACAGCTTGTATGAATTGGAAAATCTGAAAACTTTGCTTCTACTGCCGTAGATTTAATGTACTTGAGTACCCGTGAATGCTTTAGTTCTTGCTGAGATTTGCCAGAGATGGGCACAGTTAGAGCTGCTTTTCAAAATGACACCCATGGCTCCTCCTCGGTCAGCCCTCAGATAGAAACTCACGTTTCTAAATAATTCCTGAACGCAACTGAGTGAGTTAGTACAGACACGGGAGTTTCCAGCGCCTTGGCTGAGCTTATATACAGGGCTTTTAAGGACTTCGAGACTTGCTTTTGCACCCAGAAAAGTGGGGAAGGGGAACACAGAAAATATCCGTATGGACACAAAGTGTATTTTAGTTGTGACCTGGACTCATTTCACCCCCCGAGCGTGGCCTCCCCAGGGCTGGCAGGTGGGCGGGTGCAGGAGAGGAGCCTGAGCATTGACCTGTGCCTCTTGGGTTTTTACGTGAAGCACACTTTGAGACCCGCGGATTTGGTCTCGGTGATTTATCACAGGATGAATAAATGCAGAATGCGGCTGGTGCCTTGCCGTACCTTCGGATGCCAGATTTTCACCCAGACGGTGAGGGGTGAGGAGGGAATCTGGCAGATGGGAAGACTGCTGGTCCTCGCAGCTCTGCCTCTCCCTCGCGGCTTTGATTTGGACCTGGCTGCTCCACTGCTGCCTCGGCGGGCTGGTTTCATCTTCCATGACTGCTCTGAAAGATTTCTCCGAACCTCCAGCTTCAAAATCCCTCCCTCTGTTCCCTCAGCTGCCTCGTGCAGGATATAGGTTTTAAGAGTTCCGTGGGGAGACTTTGTTTTACTGCGCTGCCAAGTGACGTCGTATCTCCCACCCTCTGCCTAATTCACTGAAAAATTTTTCGTTTGCTGCTTGATTGATTCTTTTTCCTTGAGTACAGTCCAACATTTCACTGGAAGTCCCAATGGACAGGCATCCCCTGGGGCACTACATTACTTGTGGTTCAGATCTCAGTCTTGGCTCTCTTAATTATATTCTCGTCCTTTTCTAAGAGGAATAGGTAGGAAAGGAACTCTGAAATCACCAAGAAATTGGGGCATATGTCCACATGCTGTCTTTGTCCATGCTTTTATCACATCTCTATGTTAATTTAAGCATTGCCACAGAAATGAGTGTTTTGCATATTTTTGACAGCACTGTTTCTCCGTTGCAGGTGTAGGTACAGATTTATACTCACCAGAACCCGAATTGTAATTCTATCATCTGTCATGGTTTTGACATTATTTTATTACCTGCAGACTTTCTCCTCTGTTTCCACCATGGTGGCGCACAGCTCTGTGAGCTCCGGCAGCAGACACACGTGGTTTGTGGTGGGCTGGTGGATCCGGGTGGACAGGCTGAGGCTCTGCTCTCCTCTCCTCCTGCTGCAGAGAGAGGTCTGGAGCACAGAAATAATTCACTTTTTTGCAAGGAAAATAATTTTCTGCAAGGAAGAAGGAATTTCTGCAAGGAAAGTGTGAAGTGATACAGACCCAAGGCTGTTTCCTAAGTTCATTTCAGGAGGTTTTGTGCTGGGTGGGGCTGGCAACATTATGGAGGGTGTGAGTGAACAGTGGGTTAGGAGCAGAGAGATACTTCCCATGTGTTCAGGCCGTGTAATTTGGTGTAAGTGCTCACAGTTCTCTCCCACCTTCCTTCCTTTCCTCCTGCTTCTGCTGTGGTCACCACATTTTCATCCCTCTCTGGGCCCTGGACCTTGCTCTTTGTGTGGCTGGTGAGGGATGGCTGGAGACCCCACGGCAGATTAAAGTTATCGGGGAACTTCAGTCAAAGTTATTCAGCATTTCTCCAGCTCCCAAACCCACCTGCAAAGCGTCGGGACCTAACTGAGCACGCCTCCCCATGAATCCTGCTGTGGGGCCCGGGGGTGAGCCACGAGAGCTCAGCCTGTACCACACAGCAGCTCTGCAGCGCGGTGGGACCACCTGATGTATTTATTTAGTGACCATAAAGGAGCAGATCTCTCCTGTGCACACGTTCAGGGAAAGGAGCCTGTCACAGCCTGGGCTTTGTCCAGCTGGCTCCTGGCTGAAGGCGTTTGGTTAAACAACTCCTCTGAAACTTAGAACTGCTTTGATAGAAGTTTGCTGGGGGAGTGTTCTCTTGTGACTTATTTCCTAATTTTATTAAGTGACACGATAGTTCTGAAATACCCACGCGTACGAATCTTTCAGGTAGATAATCCTTGGTACCCAAAGTTAAGACATGCTTGGAGGAAGACTCAGTTTAGAGAAGTTTGGAATCTTCCAGTGATGGGCTGGGCTTACCCGTTGTATTACAAGGTCTGGGAAATTTCTCCTGAAGACACAGATCACAATTACATGCTTCTGTAGGATTCTCAGGAGGTAAAACTGAGTGTATCCCGAGATAATTCCTGGGCTTGGTCCCATAAAATTGCTTTTCCTAAACATGATATTCCTTCTTCTATGTACAACAGACATTCACTAGCAGAGAAACCTGCACGGAACTTGTGAAATTTAAGGCACCACCTCAATGTTTGGAGAGTAGTTTTGCCCCACTGGAGTGAAAATACTGTCTATCCCGAACCAGCAGCTGGTTAGGACTGTTGTTAACTCTTTCTCTGCAATCATTTCTCTGTTTCCAGGTGTTTTCCTACACGGCTGACAAAGAGATCCGCACGGACGACCTGTGCCTGGACGTCTCGAGGCTGAACGGCCCCGTCACCATGCTGAAGTGCCACCACATGAGGGGCAACCAGCTCTGGGAGTACGATGCCGAGGTACCCTGCCAGATTTCTGCTGGATCTGAAACACCTTTCAATGGTGTTTAATCATTTTCCGTGTCCCAAGGCACCTGTGGAGTCTGGCCCTGCTGCGGGATGGGAGGTGGCTTTTCCTGGGTTGTGAGGGGGAGTGTGGGTTGGAGAAATTTGGTGGCTTATGGAGAAGTTGCAAAATTAATACAAAAATACGTGTAATCTCAGTATCTCACAGCCAAGTAATTCTTCTTTTTGAATGAGACAGGAAGCAGCTGAAAATGAAAACCTTCATTTTAAGCGTTTGCTTTCAAATGCGAATGGGCGGGTTTGCGTGGTGAAGTTCACACAAAGGTATGAGTGTTTTCTTCAAGGTGGGATCTTTCTAATGTGTTAAACCATACAAACCCACCTTGGCTAATAAAGAGCTGCCAGTTAGCAAAGCAATGATACTTGCTGCTGAGATGCAATTTGGTTGGTAACTTTTGATACATTCTTGAGTTTAACATTTGAATTTAAACCAATTTTCTCTTTGATAAAGAAGATTCTTTTTCTACAGAACGCGTGTGTATTTTCATAGTTCTTAGGTATTTTTGAGGATGTTCATGCCTGCAATTAACACCTCAGATTTAAGATCTTGTATCATCCTTTGTTTCATTCCTGCAAGCGATGATAATTGATTTTTAATGAGTTTTGGACGGTGTTAAGTAGAAGCTAAGGAGCGTAGTGCTGACCAGCGGCCGCGGAGGTGGAGGGGGTGTCATAGCTCCTGGCCTGGTTCCACAGGAGGTTGAGCATCACCAGACACAACGGGCATGGGGTGCTCGGGCTGCACCCGGGGGAAAGGTCTCCTTGCTGTTGGGTGCCCCAAGCAAATCCAAGCAGGTCTCTGCTTGGCTCTGGGGTGGCTTTTTGGTTATTTTTGGGGATGTCATGGGGGCTCTCGCTGGGTCTGACACTAGTTGATGTGGCATGAGCTTTTGCTCCTTAAAATACCAGGTTTTCAGGCTCTTCAACTGGAATATTTCAAATTTATCTCAGCAACACCTTCAAGGATAAATTTTGGATATTGAATAAATATTAATTTAAAAAATATTTTTCACATTATTTTTATGTGCTTCAACAGCCCAGTCCTAGCTAAGCAGTGAGGGTGCAGGAAGCTCCCCCCCAGCTCTGGCCTAGTCTCAGCCCTGTGCTATGGCTCCTCACACAGTGCTCTTTCTTCTCCACAATGTAGAGAACAACCCTCCCTGATAAAAAAAAAAAATTACACTCCCTGTAGCTTTCCTTTGAATATTTGGGCACAAGCCACTGGGAATGAATTTTCCCCATTGAGCACAGTTTTAACACTGCCTGCCCAGTGGTCTGAGCTTACACAGCTCTGCTAGTCTCAGTTTAAAGCTGCTGAGTTAGTGTTGGCGTATTTTCACCACTGCAAAGCTAGAAAAATACCGGCATATTTAAAAGACGTGTTATTCTTTTAAATAGTGTTTCCAACATTTCACAGAAATAGCTGCTTTCACTTTCCTGCATGAAAAGCTAAATTCCTTTCAACCAGATGTGCTCTCCTCTCCTTGTAACACTGGAAACGTGCTGGGTTTTTTCTCTTAAATTGAGCCTAAGAGCTCCAGAATGGAAAATTTCTAAGTAGCTGTGTAAAAACAAAATCAACCATTAGATGGAGCTCATAAAAAAGAAATACACCGTTTTTTTACAGGAGGGATCTCCAAGACAAGGCTTTTGCTGTCTGTTGCAAGCATAAACCACAGCCCGTCGCATTAGGGACCTTTCTGTTTATTGCCAGGGATATTTTTCTTCACCATTCCACTCTGTGAACGTTCAGACCTGAGCTTGCAGACTTCCCTTTGACAGCAGCGTTGGTATTTATGATACGTTTATTAAAGCATTAATCAGGATGAGGGCCTGGGCGTTGCTGGGGGGGTGGCTGTGGGGAGGGACCCCTGCTCCCCCTCTCTGCTGCCTGTCCAGGGCTCTTCCCTCACACAGATTTTATTTAGATTTACTGCCTGGTGATCTCCGAGTGTCGCAGGAAGCCTCCAAATACACCCCCATATACAGCATGCAAATACATACCTCACGTGCAGTACTTTTTCCTGAGAAAACAAATTATTTGTGATTTTTTTTTTTTTTTTCAGAGAAATAGTTGTGACATGTTGCCTGAGTCACTTGTTACCCATTAATTTGGGTTTTTTTCAGTGAAATTGCACTCATTGTTACATTTCCTTGCTGGTTCAGCAGTTGAACAGAGGTGATTTCTGGGGCTTGTACCGTGGTTGCAGTCCACATCCCTCCTGTTAAAGGTATTTAGGAGTCAGGACTTGGTAATGGGCAAAGGTGCCTTGGCCACATCTGTGAGAGGCGTAAACGATCATAAAAAGGGATTTCTCACTAAAGATCGTCAGGCAGTTTTCTTTGATTTACATGCTGTTGCTAGATTTTCAGTAATTTTCCAGTTTAGTTTAAATTATGGTATTTAAATATACATTTTTTAAAAATCACAGAAAGTCTTTTCCAAGAATTTATACATAGATTAATAATACTACAGTTCTCTTAGATATTCCTAGCATTCATACTTTTTCAAAAATAAACAAGGAGCTGAGAAGATTTTGTGGCAATAAAGAAGGTAAACATCAGATGTTTTCATACATATTTGTGAAAGTAGAAGATCTAATTGGGTTGAAGCAGGCTATTAAAAAAGCCCCTTTTTCTCATTTTCTCATACCATATAAGGGTGTGCTCAATGCTTTTAACACTTAGAATTATTAATACATTTTTATTTGCACTTGAGATGCAAGTTAAATTGAAGCACTGGAAGAAAATAGTGATCCAAAGGTATCAGTGGGTTTGTCAGAACGGAAAATCACTGGCTGAAGGAGGGGGGGAAGGATTGCCCTTCGTATTTTGGGTCAGAATTGAGCTACACTGGCAAATCTGAGGGAAATGAGATGTTGACCCCAACTCCAGCACTGAACATTTGCCTTCAGGGTGCTGGCTTCACCCACGCTTGTTTAGTGCAAGAGGTGAGATGGCCTGAAAGAGGGTGAGAAGGAGATCCGGGGGGAGTAAAGTGGGGTTAAACCACTTGGAAATACAAAGGGTTTGCAGCAGCGCTGGCTGTAACCTGTCGGTGCTTTGTCAAAGTGCACTGGGACTGCTCTTCTCTTAGGAAAAGTCAAGTAAAGTAGGCAGAGAGACCTGGGTTTCATGTGCAGGAAGGAGTTCCAAAGTGCTGATTTTGGTTATGCTCAAAGAAAATTATAAATCTCCCCACTTCCCCCCCCT